TAGTTATTTCTTTCCCTCACGTTTTTCTTCCGGTTACCTATTTATATTAATAACTTACTTCCTATTCATATGCTTTTTCTTAAATGTAAGGAATCGGTCAAATACAACCCATTCACTAATTACGCGTATCACAAAAATGTTCAAGGTTAATTTTTCATTCTTACTAAGGATTATTTCAAACATTTCGATTTCCACAACGTTTTATGAGATGTATCGAAATGAACTATTTCGAAATATATCATGAGTGAACGTGATGAATATGGGAAAGGGAGAATGAGTGAAATAGATTCATGATGTGGATATTCCAAAAACGTCTTTCATCTCTGTTAATTCAATTAAGACACTAAACAAATTTGGTTGAATTCTGAGATCATCCAGTTTTGTGAAGGGAAAGAGAGGCAAATACGTTGAAAAAACTGACAGGAGAAAACTGAAGAAATGTATTACTGAATAACATCAGTAGTTACAAACTACGGCCATTTAAGACACTAGATAGATATTAGAATAGATGAGAAAGATGCTATAGTTAGAAGGATGAATCAACCAAGATTGACAAACTTAGCCAGTTTTGAGCTGCATCTCTGAGATTCGATAACTATGAACTCTAAACATCTCTATGACGCCAGCTAAGTAGCTGGCAATACCCTGTACAAATCAGAATCACGGTTAGAGTCTTCCTAGATCAGTTTCACTTCTTGATTTAGTAACCCCGAGCTTTCTTTCTATTGTATTTTCATTCCGTTAAACATTATGCCTCGTTATGCTACTCAACAAAATCAGTTCAAGAAGGGAGGGTGGTGTTTAGTAGCTAGCATCAGGTTTCTGTTGTTGATTATTTCATATTCATTCGTTGATTGAAATAATAATAAGAAATTGCTCGAGTTTTCTCAATTTTACCGTTGACGGGAAAAGATTAGGTTATCAGACTGTTTCACAAACACTGAATCCGCGCCAATGATAGCTGGCATCACTGTGAAATTCCCTCTTTGTAAACTGAAGTTAGACGAAGAAGTTATTGAATAAAAACTCGAAAGAGGATACCCGTAACTTCCCGTTGCTATACTGTGTTGAACTGTTCGACCTCCGTTAGCAAATGGGCTCTTATACAGATGCCTCAATACTGCTTGAGTATTTATTATATTGTAGTCTACTTGATGGCTAACAGTTGAATCAAGGACGCGAGTTCCATCATATTTGGGATGTCCCTTCACCCCGGTGATGTTGTTCCCACCGGGACTTGAACCGAGTATCCATCGCTTTAAATGCTGCAACGTTACCCACTAGGCCACTGGAACACGATAGACACCTCTTGTGACGTGAATATCAATTTTTTGTTGATATTTTTATGATTATCACTTGCACAAGAGGCGGCTGCCATACCCCACTGGCCTTTGAAGTTTGGAGCGATGGGTACTGGGTTTGAGTCCCAGTAGGAATAATATAGCACGCGTCCTGGATTCTACTGCTAAACAACAAGAAGACTATCACGCAATTGAGAAATTTCTCAAAATATTTCAAGCAGTTTAGTAAAAGTATATTATCACCTTTATTTATTGTTTACTTATCCAACATCTGGTTGGTGTATTTTGGTTCGCAGCTCCAAAATAGAATTTTTGTCTTCAGTTTTCATATATGAAGATGCAACTTCCTACTTTCATGACCCCTATCTAATGTTCTCTGAAACAGTTTTGCAGCAAAGCTTGTTTCTAAATTGATCGCAAACATATTGGATTCCAGTATAGCTTCTGACGTTATAGCTTGTAAGTCTCCGTCGTTGATTAGACCGAAATGATAAGGCACTATCGGCACACGGGCTCCAGTACAAATGACTTGACATTGCCGGTATTTACAATTCTTGATAATGATGATGACGATGAGTGACCAAAAGTGAACTCCAGGATGTGCGTTTCATCCTTTTGGCGATTTGTCAGCTGGATTTACCTCCTTCACAGTGAGTGTTGTTCACACTAGGACTCGATTATTATTATTATTATTATTATTATTATTATTATTATTGGTCCCTTGGGTTCCTAGTGGAACATAGGACTTCACTAGCACGTCTCCAGTGACCTCTGTTCTCTGAGATCTTTTGAACCTGGTCCCATGACAGCCCAGAAGCTCTCATTTCCTCCTCGCACGACCTCCTCCATGTCACCCTCGGACGTCCAACTCGTCGCTTCCCATGGGGATTCCACTCTAGGGCCTGACGCGTGATGTCCTCAGTCGGCCTTCTCAGTGCATGGCCAATCCATCTCCACTTCTTCCTGCATATTTGTTGCGTGATAGGTTCTTGGTTGGTTCGTTCCCAGAGTTCCTTGTTGCTTATTTTTACTGGCCATCTGAGCTTCAGCAGCGAGCGTAAGCAGTTGTTGATGAATGTCTGTAGTTTATTGGAAATGCCTTTCGTGACGCGCCAAGTCTCTGAGCCATACAAGAGCACTGACTTGACGTTGGTGTTGAAAATCCGTATCTTGTTCCACATGCTGAGTGCAGAAGATCTCCACACTGGTTTCAGGCTAATGAACGCCTGTCTTGCTTTTCCGATTCTGACTTTGACGTCCTCGTCTGTGCCTGTGCCGCCTGTAGTTGAAACAGTGCTTCCTAGATAAGTGAAGGAGGTTACTTCCTTCAAGTTTCTCCCGTTGACGGTGATTGGAGTTTGTTGTTGTTGCTGATGGTGGTGGTGCGGTATCTTCATCACTTCTGTCTTCTCTATATTCACTTGAAGTCCCGTCTTCGCTGCCTCTTCTATCAACTTGTTGGTTTTTGCCTGCAGATCTTCAAGTTTATGTGACATTAGGCATAAGTCATCGGCGAAATCCAGATCTTCTAGGTTCTTTTCCGTCGTCCAGTGTATCCCCCTCTTCTCGCTGCCCACTGTTTGCTGCATGATCCAGTCCACCACAATAAGGAATATCATAGGGGATAGTAGGCAACCTTGTTTCACTCCTGTCTTCACTTCAAAGGCATCACTGAGCTTCCCATTGTGGATTACTTGGCATGTGGCATCTTCATATAGTTGTTGAATGAGGCGGATAAAGGTTTGCGGCACTCCGTAGTATTGAAGCAGTTTCCAAATTACTTCTCGGTCGACACTGTCAAAGGCCTTTTCAAAGTCGATGAAGTTGAGGTAGAGAGCTGATTGCCATTCTATGCTCTGTTCTATGATGATACGAAGCGTTGCAATTTGGTCTGCACATGATTTGTACTTCCTGAAGCCTGCCTGTTCCGGTCGCAGTTTTGAATCCAGTGCGTCTTTAAGCCTCTCTAGGATGATGCGGCTTAATATTTTACTTGGGGTGGACAGGAGAGTGATTCCGCGCCAGTTCTTGCAAACACTGAGGTCTCCCTTCTTCGGCAGTTTGACAAGGTAACCCCTCTTCCAATCGTCAGGTACCTTCTCTTCCTTCCACACCTTCTGCAATAGTGGTGTGAGCATGGCCGCTGTTGTCTCTGCATCTGTTTTCAGTGCTTCTGGCGGTATTCCATCTGGTCCTGCTGCTTTCCCGCATTTCAGTAGCTTTATGGCGTTCAGGACTTCCATTTTCGTTGGGGGATTTATGTTCACTTGTAATTCAGCGGCTGCAGGTGGTATTTCTGGACGAAGTGCAGGTGGTGGTCGATTCAAGAGCTTCTTGAAGTGGTCGGCCCATCGTTTCCTCTGTTTCTCTTCTTTCGTAATTAAATTTCCTTCTTCATCTTTTATTGGTTTCATCTGTGTTGGTCTCTTCCCTGATAGCAACCTGGTTATTTGATACAATGTCGTCAGGTCTCTCTTACCTGCAGCCTGTTCTGCTTCACTTGCCAGTGTGTCGTAGAAGTGTATTTTGTCCTTCCGTGCACTCTTCTTCACTTCTTTATCCAGTGTTTTATACATTGTGCTCAGTTCCTCTTGTCGTTGAGCATCCTTGCACTGGTTTATCTTCTGCTTCACCATCCTCCTCTCCTCTATCAGCTTCCAGGTATCCGTCGAGATCCATTCCTTGTCTTCTTTCTTCTTCCTTCCTAATACTGTTGTGCAGGTTTCTTTCCACATAGCTTTCAAAGACTTCCAGTGTTCTTCCACACAGGTTTCTTCAGGGATGTTGCTCGATGTCTCCCATTTTGTCTTGATGGCTGGCTGCCTTGAAGATCTCCTTTGTAGTTTCACTAGGACTCGAACTCAACACAAATCGCTTTGAACGTTACAGTATTACCTAATAGGTCAAATTTGGCAAGAAATATTTAGGTTTGTTGCTTTCTACAGATTGACTCAATAGAGTACACCTAATCCATGAACTTGGTTAGAATGCTAGAACAAAGAATCACACGGTTTACCATTTGGTAAGTTATGCACATACATTGATCCGACAAGAGACCAAGCCCAACCTGATAAGTTGGCGACTAATCACACTGATCTACATATTTCGTTAATCAGACCAGAATGATTTCAAGAAGTGACAGTCATTTGACTTATAGTGCACTGGGATAAAACCAGATCATAGTAACCTGATTACATCATCCCCACCTCTATCATTATCGTCATCCTGAAATGACTAGCGAAGTCTGCAGATCAGTGTGAATGCTTCTCAACTAATCAGTGGTATGCTTTGCGGTTTTATGAAACTTTTGTCTCGTAAAGTCTATAATCCGAGTGACTTTAAAGGCCACCCTAGCAATTTATGAAACAACCAACCACGTTTCTCTATTCTAGGAAAAATCATTTTTCCAGTCAAAATACCACAACCTGATTGACTATTTTGGCAGTTTTTAGGGTGGCCTTTGAAGTCTTTGCTACAATCCAAACTTCTAATAGTTCGGTGGTTAAAAAACTAATTAGCCAACACAAATTTTAACGTGGACCCTGTAATTTGGGGATGATTGAAGAAGGGATTATACATTCTGCATTAATATTGATCTTTCATGAATTATTGCGTCCAAATTATTTCACTATCCTTACTATAGACAATATATTTAAAGAAAATCATGATTTATTTAACCAAACGGTAGGAAATACTTACATATACTTCATCATTTGCCCCTTCACCTTCCTGCATTTGGCATGAATGGTTTATAAACAATGTGCCTCTGAATGGAACAATTATAAATCAGTTTCCAGTTCGAATATTAAATAGCTTTCATTTGACATAAAATCTTAAAATTACTCCAAATAAATCACTGAATTATTCAGTCAACAGTTAAGGAAGGCTTTTCATATTGCAAATATCAACGTGAATTTCACCACTCATTATATTCTGCTTAATTTCTATTGGTTGAAATAGCTTCAAAGTGATTGGCCTGTTTGCCTGTAGTTATTTTATTGATGAAATTTATGGATGCATTTAAGAATGTTCGATTGTCTGAAGCAACGAAGAACACGTTAGATAAAAAGTTATGTAAAGTAGGTTGGAAAAATAGAGAAGCAGACATGTGGAAGAGTCTAGAATTAGTAAAATAATAATCATAATAATAATAGTCACAGAAAAGTGTAATCAGGAAGAGAAAAATCTTCAAGGATCTCATTTTTAAAAACTTTACAACTATATTTAAATTCACGAAAAATTAATGGAAACAAAACGCACAATTTTAACTCAACTAGGAGAATGATCTGGAAGGGAGATATAAGATGTCGAAGGTGAAACCGCAAACAGATACTGTGTAATGTGTGTAAACGACTAATCCAGGTATGATAAATGAAAATTGTGAAGGAAAGAGGTAAGGCTACATAGTAAAATGTAAGAAAACTTTGTGGAAGGAGTATTATTACTGTGATAGCGTTATTATGAATAAGGGCATATATTATTTCTGAACGTAAAAATCAGGTCTTAAAATCCTGGATTGCCAATGATTCGGTTATATGTAGGAAGTAAGTTGGAGAACCATTGAGAACCTGGGGGCATTTCACAGCCGTTTTGTCCTAGTATGGGACTCCTCAGCGCTAAGCACCTGCAACTCCACAAGGAATGGAACTCAAGACCTCCAGGACTCCCAGCGGACCCGCCAACCATTGAGCAAATGGGTTAGAGTTCAGAGATTCACAGTTTAGTACTTCTGTCGATTCATGATGCCGGACAAGTGTCTACCAAGGTTTTCAGTTGTAATCCGCTTCGCTTCCAATTCCTTGACTTCACAGGTTGCGGAGTTTCATAAGAACTTCGAGATATCCATCTAGAAGCCCGTCACTAATGAGGATTGTGTTTTTTAAAGTTTATCCAGATTTTATTATTAAGGTAGCATTTACCATGGACTGAGGAGTTCCATACTGGAACGAAACAGATGCTAAGTGCTTTTAGGTTTTTAAAGTCTTAAAAAGACTACTGTGAGTAACCAGATGTACAGAGACGACCAAATGCTACAGGACAGGGTTATTTATATTCTTTTTCTGTCGTTGAAAGACAAGTTGAACAATGTTCCAAAGTACGTTTACAGACTTGATTGTATGCATTACCAATCTACTTTGCTTCTTATGAAAGAATAAAGTGATAAACATACGCTAAAGTGGTCACAACCGATATTCTGTGCTTAACATATTGACGAATTGGTGGTTCACAGGCTAACTAAACAGAAAATCTTATAATGACTGGCGCACTTTTTTAGTACCAAACAATAGAATAAGGAAAACTTATTCATTAGCTTATGGAGGAGAGCAGTCATCAGTAATGTAAGGAAGACAAGATTTGTAGACTTGAGGACTAAACTTATTTCCCATCTTCACAGCGCTTAGTTCTGAAGGTGCAAATCTATTTTAATCATTATTTGTCCCTCAGGTTCCTAGTGCAACATATGGCTTCAGTAACACATCTCCATTCCACTCCCTTCTCTCCAGTCTTTCCAACTATGCTGCACCACTGCCCACAAGCTTTCATTTCTTCCTCACACGGTCTCCTCCATGTCACCCTCAAATGACAATCTCGTCGTTTCCCCTTTCGATTCCACTTGTGGGCCTGGAGTGGCGTGCGATGTCTTCGAATGGTCTTCTCACTGTATGTCCAATCCAATCCATCTCCACTTTCTTCTGCATATTTGTTGGGTGATGGATTCTTGGTCGGTCGGTTCGTTGCCAGCCAGAGTTTCTCCTTGCTTATTCTTTCTGGTCATCCATCTGATCTTCAGTATCGAGTGAGAGTAGACGGCAGCTGTTCATGTACGATGTCCGCAGTTTGTTGGAAATGCTTTTCGTAACACACCAAGTCTCTCAACCATCACATTTAAGCACTGACTCGACTAACATTAGTGTTGAAAATCTGGATCTTGTTCACGCTTAATGCTGAGTGCAGTGCAGTAGATCTCCACACTGATTTCAGGTTAATGAAGGCCTGTCTTGCTGTCTTTCCGATCCTGGCTTTGACGTCCTCGTCTGTGCCGCCTGTAGTTGAAACGATGCAGCCTGCCTAGGTAGGTAGGTGAAGAAAACAACTTCCTTTAGATTTCTCGCATTGATTGTGATTGGTACTTGTTGCTGTTGGTTGGGTATCTTCATAACCTCTGTCTTTTCTACGTTCACCTGAAGTCCCGTCCTCTCTACCTTTTCTGTTAACTTGTTGGTTTTTACCTGTAGATCTTCAAGTTTGTGCAACAAGACATTGGATATAAATCATCATCGGCGGCGAAATCCAAATCTTCTAGGGTCTTTTCATCGGTCAAGCAGCGTATCTACATCCCCTCACTCGTCACAGTTTGTTGCATGATCCAGTAGACCACAGTCAACTCTAGTACATTAAAAAACTTGTCGATTCATGCAGTTTAATGATACGTTTCCATGAGTGACTTAAGGATTTTTCACGAAGTTGAAAGTGTTTAGTTCAGTTCATTAGACTCTTCAGAACTATCGGGGTTTTGATTTTACAGAGGCGTTCAGTACCTTGAGAGTTTAATCGTTCCCACCTCTCATTATTAAAACAGATGTGTATTGTCTAAACCTTATAAATCCTTATTCTCAACGGTAGGGATGGAAATGTCTTATTACTTTGTATTTTAGACAGTCATATATAATACGAGGTGCAGAGAATCTGTACAGTCGCATTAGATAACAACTTAAAAACAGATACAAGTTTGACTGTAATTTACAAGTTGCCATTCATCATGGACTGACACAAGTTGGAGGAACATTGAAAACCTGGGAGGACTGGACAGCTGTTTCTTCCTAATGTGGGACTCTTCAGTAGTATGCACCCATGACCTTCAGGTTCCATGGTAAGCACGTTGCCATTAAACCACTTGGTCGGAATCCAACGGTCCATATTTCCAGATTCTGTCAGTTCACGTCATAGCACGACCATCACCCAATGTCATCGTTGAGTAATTGTCCTCATGACCACCAAGTTTTCTCCACTGGTCATGACTTCTCATTGGAACTTCAAAAATCACTTCTCGAAGCTAGTCCCCAATGAGCACTAGACAATTTAAATGTACTTCACGACAATGTAATAATTTAACTTGAAATTACGATGCTTCATGCTATGTGAATTCAAAGAGATAATGACGAGTAAAGAAGACGTCTCTCTTAAATAATTCATAACTCTACAACTATACGATATTTCAAAAGAATCATGATAATTCTTAGCCCAGTACCCCCATGTAAAATAAATTAATGGAATCTGGAGTTATACTCTGCCAGAGTACCCTAGTCCTATTGTTGTATGATCATAAACCTTTGCCAACATAGCTGTAGGGGGGTGGGAGGATGAGCAGCGGACAGCTCTACTCTTGAGTGTACAACTCTGTCCGGTCATTTAGCATCCGTACAAAGTTCATTCGGTATCATCTAAGAAGTTCTACCGGATAGAGTAGAAACTGTCGTCCTTCACAACCAAAATACTGAGCTTCATGTAGAAAAATGCCATTTTCAAGTTTTTCTTACACCCATCGTCATAATTGTAAGCTCTCTTTTTTTCTGTGACCAGTTTACCGTTTAGTCTCCCTTTTGTTGCTCTTTTATACTCATTATTGAGGATTTGAAACTCTATTTCCCCTGTTCATAGTAATCTTTGCGTTTCAAAATGTCAACATCTACACAAAACACCATTCAAATGGTGATTTAAGAGCAGAACTTGGTTACTGTAACAAAACATTTTGCGTGGATTGGCTTTAAATGTCACTCAAACAACTATTAAAATGACAGATTAAGTTCCTCTATTTTGTGCAAATACCACTTACCAACCGAAATGAAAAAACCTAATTTATTATTTCGGTGGTGGCTAGAGTGGCCGTTAGAATCGCTCATTCTGTATCAGCTTGCTTGTTAGATTTAGCGTCAAGTGAGGTAGCATTATCGATTGAATGACATACTGAGCACAATTTATTGCTCATTAGCTTACCATGGTGAGCATACAACTTTTTGGCTTGCTATTTGTATAATGTATTCGGGGAACGTGCAAAATGGATTACTTGTCTTAACTAATCCCTGTGACTAATTTTCAAAATACTAAATCCATACTAACCGGAATCTCAGCTACAAATAATGACAGAATTCTCACGAAGGACTCTGAAGTCAACTGAAGTGAATTTGACAATATATCTTTGACTTCCTTGTATAATAATTCACAAAGATGAATATATGGAAAACTATGTAAACCGTTAAGTTTTTGCCGAAATCTAGAAAATTTGCACCAATAATTATTAAGCTTTGTCTTTCTCATCCGTTTATACTGAGTCATGATTGAAGGTGAGATGAAAATCTGGACCATGGGCGGATTCGAACCAGCGACCACCGGCTTCGAATCCGGCCACGGTTCAGACTTTTATCTCACCCTCAATCATCACCTAGTATAAACACTAATCTACCAAACTACAGCTATCTCAGATAGTCAAATGATTTCTCAGCTGTTTTAATAGGAATACAACCATAGAAGATGTAAAATATATACTACTGATAGATATGAATAGTTTCTAACTACAAATGAGATAAGTAACCATCCATTTTCACTTCATAATGTGTATTCTGAAGAAGAAAAACTGGTTAAATACAACTATGACCATGAAGTACAGCATCATTAAGGCAGTGTCGACTATAAAGCTTTTTTATTCCATTCAAAAACTGCTACTACTAACTTACTGAAGTGAATGCAAGAAATTCACTTTTATTTGATGGCAGTTAACAAAACCAGCATAAAAGAAGCACATGAAGTGAGTCGGAACCATGAAGGTGATTATCCAAAGATTATAATCAGTGTTTACTTAGATCATGTCAAATAAAATATTCGCACAAAAAGAGATAAGGGA